TGTCCAACCATAAATTCGAAAATCAGAATAGAAGATCGAAATAGCGAATAATATTTAAAAGCACTAGTTGGTCTAAAATCACATGGATAAGTCTCTTTGTTGCATTACAACTGAATTTAATCCTTAGGTAAATGCAATTCAGTTGCATGAATTGGTTGGTTTTCAAACTCATTATAGGGTAATTTCACAGATTTAAAATTCATTTCTGAGTAATTTCCAGTTTCCCTAATACACAGAAAAATGTTTGAAGTAGATATTTTAGCAGTAGAATGAAAGATAATTTGATGCATAATTACTTATACAGATTCACATGTTTAAATAATACAAACATTGTTTACTTTATTTCTAAAATTTTGTACAAACTATTATTAAAAAATCATTTAATCTTTTAATAATACATGTATATATCTAAAAGTATTAAAATTCTAGATAAGTTATGGAAAACAATGTGTATTTTCCTTAATTTCACAAGCACTATGATGTTGCATCTTTAATCAAACTTTATAATTTTCTAGACATTAGATAGGCATTACAGTCTATATTATGTAAAGGCTTAAACCTGTTTGGAATCATAATTTTCCGAACTCTTAATTAATTAATAATTTTGCATCTATTTCAACTATATTAATGAAATTAGTTTTCACAATTAATTAGTAATTTAAAACATATTCAAAAATCATTTTGAAACTTGTTATATTTGCCCTCAAATTGATGTGCTTTTTGATTACAAATGAATATTTCTAAATAATATTTGATAATAGTAAGTAAAGTAAACAATATTTGATGTTGTAATATTCAATATTTTTTGGACACATAAATTAATGGAGTATTATAACATATGTATTTACTTAATAGATCTTGCAAACTAATAATTATTATGTTTAAAAATTTATAACATTATATCTATTAAACAAAACGTATTTTTAGGTTTAAACAATTACAACAAATTGTTTATTTTTAAGTAAAGTAACGTTCTGTATAAAAGAAAATATTAACAGGGTGGTATAGCATGAGGTGAGCAGTAACGTTGAAATACATGGGGTGGCCCACGCAGCTAGGGGAGGTTATGTCTTTTTCCTGCTTACAATTAGAAAACTAATGGCAGAGATAGAAATAATCCAGGACAAATGTCCCAATACCCGCATCGAACGGAGAAAACGACTGAAATTGAAAGATAAAGATAATATACGAAGTATTAAATACAATTAAAAAAAATTTTGACATGTTTCCTAATAGATTTCGTAACATATATCGAGTTGTATAAAACGTGTAATAATATATGAATTTTTCAATAACATACATATATATGTATACATTTTTCTTGATATATTCCAAGTAATGACGTCAGGAATAATTTATGCCATAGAAAACATGCTTCTGTTTTAAAGAAAAAACAGAACTATACATAATATTTATATATTCACGGTCAGATTTGTTTAAAATGGATAAAACTTTTTATGTCATTCCGCTTTTTCCTTAGTACTTTTTGTCAATTATGAACTGAGCATTATAATTTATCTAATTTGTATCGATCACCCCATATATGCAATATCCTACAAAAGTATTGAAAAACAATTTTTATTTTTCCTAATAACCAGTTTTACGAGTAAAATGGTTATTCATAATGCAAAAAACATTGCGTATAACGTAAATACAGATTCCTGACATACGAACATTTCATAACCTTTAACATGTGATCATGTTATTTTTTTTAATAAGGCTAATATGAATAATTGCATGTTCACACAATTCTTAATAAATACTATTCCATAGACTATTTTAATTCTACATTTGCACAAAAAATAAATGTAATAACAACAGATTAAATGAATATTGATGCATGATCGATATTATCACTTGCAACTATCTCTACACAGTAAATATCTAATGAAGGAACTTTTAGGCGCCACAAGATGGCGTTACTAGTATTAAGAATTAAGCACGAAGTGAAAAGAAATTTGCAAGGTCCTGTTTTCTCACCAAGTTTTCTTCTGACAAAAACACACCAGTGTAAAACTCTTTCATGAAACATTTTTTTTCCAAAAATAACAGTTTCGCGTACTTCTTTCAAAAGTTAACTCTAGTTTGTACTGGATGTCACAGTATTTAACAACAAAACTGAGACTCATTTATATATTTATGAAGAAGCACAATGAAAACAAACCTAATTACTGTTGAAATAAAATATTTATCTAAAATTACCATAAAATTGAGTAGATTTTAATTATAAATGCATGTTATTTATGAAATAATAATTCTTGTTACTTCCATTAAATGTAATTTGAATAAAACGTTTAAATTTATTATCGATTAATTAAATTTGTCACAACATAAGAATAAATTTCACGGTTTACTTTGTGACTGATTTTTGTTACGTCGTTAATATACATTCATACATGGAAATGAACATTTACTATTGTGATCGACTGAAGTATGTGTATCATACTAAAATATTTAAATTAATATGATGTATATAAACAAAAGTAGTTTAAAGGTTAGGTCAATAAAATCAGGAAATAATTCAACATTATGCATAGTATCATGCTAAGAAACATCAACTTATCTGAAATTGCTATTAGTTTTATTTACAAGATAAAAGGATTGTTAACTTTTGTAATAAATAATACATTTGTAATAAAATGTACTATTTTTGACAACGGTAACAATATAATTAAGGTAGTACTTTCTGGAATAAAAAATACTGTAATGATTGTATTATTTACAATATGTGAATAAAATGTACTAAATTTTTAAATAAATGTATGTATTATTTGCAAAAAAAGATATATATGTTTGTAATAAATTTGTAATAAAATATACTGTTTATAATGGAAGTTCTGTGCATATAGAGATAATTACTTCTAAAATAGTTTCCCTTATTATACGTACCATATTGTTTTAAATACTCCAGTTCGATACATGTATTACACTTGTTGAAAGTAGGAAATATAAGCGTTCAAATAATTTCTTGTATGAGTGTATATATATATAGCCATCAAATAAATACAGTAGCCATCAAAGGGGAGTTACAAGCAACTAAAAGGTTGAACATATTAACTTTCGAAATCCAATGAATAATATTAAAATAATACTGTCACTTGTAGCGTTTTTATTTTGGATTCTTGTTTACATACTAATAGTAAAACTTGTTAAAATTATAGTACTCCGTTTGGGTGCTATTATGACGAAAGGTTATGTTATCTTATACTCCTGTAAGATACTATATTATATTATATAATAGTATAATAATAGGTATATTATTTAAGAAGAACAATATACTAATAATATAGTATAACAACAACTATCAACAATTTAGTACACTAATATACATTTACATCGTACTAATATACGAATAGTGCGGTGCATTAATACATATGTCTAATATAGTATATTAAAATATTGATAGTATGGTAGACTGATAATACTAATAATATATCACTATAATAATAGTATAGCAGACCATTGTATTATTACTATAGCATATTATATTATAATACGCTACTATACTACTATACTACTGGTATATTAGACATACAATTTGTATATATAATATATTATACTACAGCACAGCGTACTTAGTATAGCAGACTATACTACAGGGATAACACAGTGCACTGCTATACTAGTTATATAGTGTTAGTGTATAATATAATAGTTTTATTATATAGTAATATTAATAATCATTGAGAATATATTAGTTAGTATTATAATATGTGTTTACCGTTATTCTATATAATGACAACAATCACAAGCTTAATACAATAGAAACAATTTCCAGGCAATTAATTTTATGCCAATGTTATGCTAAGTGACATTCATCTTCTGGTTAATAATTACTGATTAAATAACTCTTTTTACAGTAAGATCGTAAAGCAAAGCGAAGTTAAGTAAACTTATCTTCAAGACTCGAATAAGCAATTCATTGCATTGCTCCAAACACAGTAAATTTCAAGAATTTAGCCCTTTGAAAAATATTCTTTAATACATAAATGTTAACTTGATACTTAAGTGCTGTGGTTAATTCTTAAATTGAATGAATATAATAGTGAAATAAGTAAAGTAGATGAACAAATATACATGTCTCTTAATTTTCTAAATCTAAATTTAATTTTTATAACTTAAAAATTTCGAAAGTTCACAATCAATTTACTCCTCAAGATGAACTGTTTCATACAATGTGTATATATTTAAATACTCATTTTATTGTAACCTTTGATACCGTAATATTGCATCTTGCTCTCTATGTGTTAATTTACCCAGTTATCACCACTATAGCTTTCATAAGCATGAAAAAACAATATATGTGTTTTTGGTATTCAATCACATCACGCAGAATCAGAAAGTAATGATCTTGTGCAACGCGTGTACGCGGATATTTTATAATGATCAATATGCAATTTAAAGCCGAGAACATGTTGCGTTGATAATAAGATACGCGCTTAGCAACACGACTAATAGCTAACACGATCACCCGTTTACCTTTAAATATCGAAACATTCCATTCTTCGCTTAACAGAACCAAACTTCCACCAATCGAACTACTTACAAATTTCCAAAAACGTACATTAATATCAACGAAACATCATTACGTCGACCCTAGAAACACAGACCTCTAACCATAGTCTATAAAAAACTCCTAATATAGATTTACTTATCAGATCAGAATGCATAAACAATATGCATAATTCCTCAAAAAAAAATTGAAATTCATAGAAGATCCTTAAACATCAATGCAATTAGTCGATTCGTCAATGTACTTCAACTATTTTGCATCCCAATTCTCTGCCCAGTTCCCAGTATCCCAAACCCCGTGCCGTGGAGCTAATTCGATAAACTCGCCTAGATGTGCCAACGACAAACTCCAGGTCTACCCAGAATTTCGAACAAGACCCGCTAGCACCGCAAAAGATCTGACTAAAAAAATCAGACGAGAGACTAGGTCTATCCGAGTTATTCCCCAAGTTCGTCTTCGAACGTCGGTGCAATCGTGACAGACTTACGTGAAGTAGCCCTTGCCCTCTACTCCCAGGAACATCTCTCCACCGCTAGAAAGTTGTAGGAGACAAAACTAGGTAATGGATCACCGATGCACTGACAGACAAAGGGAACACACGCGTAACGCGGATAACGATTTCCGGAATTCGGGAGGATTACTTGTCACTGATGGGGATGGATAGTGAGGAGGACGTCGCGTGGAAAAAGGGACGTTTTCCACGGCTGCAACGAACGAGGGCTCGTTCGTGACTGCTTAAAGGCCAGTCGGTTGTGCAGCTGGAAGCGGGGCGTGCGCCCTCCGCAAAATCAAACTTTGCCTCCACTCGAGGAAATTCACCACGGGCACGGGGCTGCGTCGCCTCTCTTCGCCTCGCCTCCCACAGCCGAGAATCGCCTGGCTGCGTGGCCCATCACCTGTCTACAGGGTGGTTTGGGATAACTGGGACGATCGTCTTCCTCGTTTCGTTGAATTTTCGACAAGTGAAAAATTCCTGAAAGATATCAAATTAATAGATTGATCTTAAATTGATGTATGTCTTCATTTGAACTACAGTTCAGTATCATTTGACTGCGTTACCTCTCTGTAGAGTAGTTTGGGATAAGTGGGACAATCGTGTTCGTCGTTTCATAGAGTTTTGGAGAAGTGAAAAATTTCTGAAAGATATTAAGATAGTGGGTTGGTATTAGATTGATGTATCTTTATCTTACCTTCTACAGTTGAGTACCATTTGAATGCGTGGTGCGTCATGTCCCTATAGGGTAGTTTGGGATAACAGGGACGATCGTGTTCCTCGTTTGGTTAAATTGTGGAAGAAAGCGGCGGGGAAGTGAAAAATTTCTGGAAAATATCAAGATAATCAGTTGATCCTAAACTGATGTGTGGTTTCGTCTCACCTTCTATGGTTGAATATCATTTGACTGCACGGGCCATCACCAGTCTATAGGGTAGTTTGAAATAACTAGAATGGTCGTATTTTTCGTTTCGTTGAATTTTGGAGAAGCGAAAAATTCCTGGAAGATATTAAGGTAGTAAGTGAGTTTGATGCATGTCTTCTCCTTTCCTACAGCTACCCAACATTTGGCTGCGTGGAATATTGTGTTTGTAGGGTGGTTTGAAATAATTAATGTAAGTTGCGTGTCCTGTTTCATTGAAATTTGAGATACAAGGTGTCTTTATAGGTTAGTACTATAGTACTAGTAGTATATTTTTTCATCTCGTTTCCTCGAGGTGAGGTTCGTTTGATTGCACGGCTCATCACCTGTCTATAGGGTGGCTTAGGTCGACTGAAGGGAATCATGTTCCTTTTTCTATTGAAATTTGGGAAAGAGAGTTAGCACAGTTTGAAAAGAGGATGGTTAGAAATCTTTGCTCACGTTTGAAAAGGAAAAATTCATACTGCAACTACCGACTTGCAGCGAATACCTGAATATACAAGTTTCAAACATTCGTTTTAAAACATAACTTGAACAAGTTACAAAATTCCTTGTTGAATTTGTAATAGATTCCTTTATAGGAATGTAATTATCTTTGAATAATTTTATCGTTTCCTCTAAAAAATTTTCTAATATAGCTTCGATCAGAGAAAAGATACAACTTTGCCAGGTTTCACAGTTCACCCTGTATATTGCTATCATATTAATCTGCAAACGAGTGAATCCTCATCAACTCTTTCTTCGATCTACCAATCCGTTCAAACAAATCAACAATGAGATTATCGCGATATACATACTCTGGTAAAGTACATAATATCACTGTATCGATACATCATCTATCCGCATAGCAACATGAAACGTTTCGTATCATCGACAAGTAAATTTCAAAATCAAATTGCTATTTTAAATTCTAATTTTTTCCTACAATGGTTTTTAGAAATAAAAAGAAGAAATTCTAATTAATTATTCTTTCTTATTAGTACAGTATGTAATATAATTATTATAAAAGAATAATATAATTGTGGTAAGTAAAATAATTCAAAGGAATACTTATGTAATGATTTTTCTTCATTCATTGTTATTATGTCGATATCTTCAAAAGTTTCAAATACATTAAATACTTATATCAACAGTTGTGACGACAACTTTCTGTTTAACGTTCAACTTATAGTCGGGTCCTTTTTTAGTGAAATACGCAACGGTTTTCCTTTTCCTTTTGATAACACGTATTCATCGATCTGTTTTATTCTTCATCCGGAAGTGAACGTGAGAGGAATCGACATTTCCACCCACCAATTTTCCTATATGAATTCATAATATCCATTTAAACTAAAAATAACCACGTTATTTTTTGGTACATAACATTATTACATTTTAATATGTTTGTTCGTTCAAGATACCAACTAATTCGTAGTAAAGTCGAAAATATTGTATATAAAAATGTAAAATGAAAATTTGATTGAAATTTGATTGAAAATGTACATATTTTTATAATGTATCGTATCTATGGCATTTTTATAGTATTTTTATGAATATATGTTATTGTTGAAACTGTTCCCACTGTTATCATACTCAGGGTTTTACCAGATTTGATTCCATCTGAAAACGAAACAAACAAATTGTATACGTGACAAATAGAAAAAACGAGAGTAAACTTAATATACGTTTATGTTTCTATCATTTGTTTGCAAAAACTATACACGTTATTTCAGTACGATTTAGTATAAAAAATTTATTTGCCCACACTCACCTTAGGGATTTATAAACATTTATTTCTGACTTCCCTAGAAATAATCCTTTCTAAATTAATTTTTAAAAAAATCACTTTTTTTAATCTATAGAAAAGAAATTTTTCATAGATCATTTGGGCCAAAGTCAAATGTTTATAATATAACCTATATCGGAACGTAACAATAATTTTATATAAACGACACATTTGTTTAATAAAATTAGACCATAAGAATAGAAATTGAAATTCAATACGAACCGGAGAAATTTGCTAAATAATTTTAATTCAATCAATTAACGCTTAAAGTGGTCCCGCCTTTGAATCGACCGCTGAAACAGGCTATATTTCACTGTGTGACTCGTTCTTAGAAACAAGTGCCGAGTGCTCGCAGCAGTACTTCAGCATTTCAATGAGAAGCTGTTCTTAAGTGGCAAAGAAAATGCTCGACGATGCTTTTGGTTATCTCCGAGAAATACGGGGGTATAATGATTGTGATAAAAGAACACATTTTGATTAATCTTACGTGTCATATTACATACCAATTAGCTTTACACATTACACACACGTATTATTTATTTGAGCTGAAATAAACAAAGTGATAGGGTTAATGCATGATTTGTAAGATCCGTGTTATATTATTAATATTGATGATAAAATTGATTTCAATACTACAAGATTCACCAAGTAAAAAGATTAACCTCAAATTAAAAAACAAAAAGAAGAAGAAGAAAGAATCAATGAAAAAGATGTTTTTCATTGTTAACTGAATTTACTGATGTTTGATTTATTTATAAAAATCGAATAATAACACGTATTTCAAACATAGACGCACGTTTTGCACGATCTTGCATATTTAGTATGCTATAATATTAATCTTATTAAACCTAACCTATTACTAACTGGTGTGACTAACTCGATAAATGAAGTAAAATGTGGTATACATTAACATTAGCTTCTATTCGTTTAGTCCCTTTGTGGCAACTATGTTTCCCCAAGAGTATGAAGTAATAAAGAAGCATCACTGACTTATCGACTGATGTATGTACATACATTGATTATAATTCTCATGTGAAATGTTACTGTCACTGTTGGTGATAAGTTCATCTAATGAATCCATTGTATTTGTACACACGAATTTATATCGATTAATTATTATTGTACATATATGATTTATACAAAATTAAAAAAAATTTTTTTCATATCTAATTTTTATATCACCGGAATATTTATATATAGTCAGTGTAATATGGACAGTATAATTGATTGAGTTTTTAGAAATAATAGCGAAAACAATTATAGCACAAACGAACTTTAGGGTTATAGGATTTGAGAGCTTGTACAGTGGGTAACCTATCGACTCATAAAGAGCGAGTTCTATTGTATTAAAATTTACCATACCATAAGGAGCTTATTTACAGGATGAAAACTTACAAATTTTGTGATTCAAAATTATTATGTCTTGGAATGCTAAAATCGCAAATGATAACATTAGGGAAATTACAGAATTTTATATAGACTAGACGCATCGAAGAATATCTGTAAGGACAATAAATGTGTGGATGAAGGACACTTGACCTAGGCATGTGGAAGAAGAATGTTGGAACGAATGTTCGAGTGTTTGAAATTGTTTCGTAAACGAAGAATGCACGGGTATGCAAGGTTCTGAATGTACGTGCCTTAATGTCGTTCAAGAATGACTGAATAGAATGAAAAAAATACAATAATATAAGAAGAGAGAATGTAAGTACATGTACAAGTGGTTGTAAAAATGCGTACTCAAGTTAATTAAGAATTCGAAATTCAAAATCATAAGAATTGTTAAAGAACGACTTATATCAGTATCATATTTTTAACTATATACATATTTATTAATTTAACTGTACTTATTTTACCTACCTTATCTACCGATCATACAAAAGGTCAATGATTTATTACATATTTTTAACTTTTAATTCTAATTTCTATTTTTTGAAAATTCAAAGCAGAGAAAGGGCTGAAAATCGCAATTTTTAACGAGAAAAGGTAGAAATAGCTAATAAATTATTTTAATTCTAGACTTCTAAATACAGGAAGGAGAAAGCATAGCGGTGCGCAGATCTGTAGGTAAGTGCTCATACGAAGTACAAAAAAAAGGCAAAAAAGATCTAAATTTCAGGCAGATTGCCTGTAATTAGGGAGCGCGATACTCGTACAAAAAATTGGCGAGAGAAATTTATAGCTATGCTGTGAACGACAGAAGAGATCACTTTTAATTAAGTGCCTACCGTTCTCGCCATCAGTCGCTTATATTTATCTCTATTTTAAAATACGTTACTAAAAATTTTTAAAAGATTTACAAATAAAAATCTAAGGATAAGGATATGCAAATAACTATTATATGTACACATGTAAGAAATACAGTCACAAAAAAGATTATAGTAATATCCCTTAACAACTTCTTCCATCTTTTTAGTAAAAAGATTAATAATATTCTTCGAACAATTAAATAATTCATAATATAAATAAAGTAGAAAGACAATACAATCTTATATCATATAGAGTACATATAATATAGTAATTTCGTTGTGTATAATTTTTTATATCATATCTGCTCAACAGAGCCGTCTTTAAAAATTCCGTAATTCTGTAATTCCAGGATCACATCATGCTTAATATTGTAACATTCTAATTCTGCGATTTAATTTCTAGATTAAGTTTATCAAAAAGTTATTACAGAAATAAAATAAATACGTTACCTCATAAAAGTACGTAAAAAAGTTAGATGCTCTGATAATTATTATTATATTCATTCAATTTTTACAAAATGCAGAAATAACTAACAATCAGGATTAATCCCCCTAAGTACGGGCCCCTTTTTCATTATCAACAGTACAGCTCTGTCCGAATATATAGACTCATGTTTTCCTTTGATAATAGTGCAATAACCTTCAATAATAGTTTGACGAATTTTTTTGACATATCTCTAAAACATAACAAAACAGGTGTAAATCATAATACACATTATTCTTGGAATGCTAAAATCGCAAATGATAACATTAGGGAAATTACAGAATTTTATATAGACTAGACGCATCGAAGAATATCTGTAAGGACAATAAATGTGTGGATGAAGGACACTTGACCTAGGCATGTGGAAGAAGAATGTTGGAACGAATGTTCGAGTGTTTGAAATTGTTTCGTAAACGAAGAATGCACGGGTATGCAAGGTTCTGAATGTACGTGCCTTAATGTCGTTCAAGAATGACTGAATAGAATGAAAAAAATACAATAATATAAGAAGAGAGAATGTAAGTACATGTACAAGTGGTTGTAAAAATGCGTACTCAAGTTAATTAAGAATTCGAAATTCAAAATCATAAGAATTGTTAAAGAACGACTTATATCAGTATCATATTTTTAACTATATACATATTTATTAATTTAACTGTACTTATTTTACCTACCTTATCTACCGATCATACAAAAGGTCAATGATTTATTACATATTTTTAACTTTTAATTCTAATTTCTATTTTTTGAAAATTCAAAGCAGAGAAAGGGCTGAAAATCGCAATTTTTAACGAGAAAAGGTAGAAATAGCTAATAAATTATTTTAATTCTAGACTTCTAAATACAGGAAGGAGAAAGCATAGCGGTGCGCAGATCTGTAGGTAAGTGCTCATACGAAGTACAAAAAAAAGGCAAAAAAGATCTAAATTTCAGGCAGATTGCCTGTAATTAGGGAGCGCGATACTCGTACAAAAAATTGGCGAGAGAAATTTATAGCTATGCTGTGAACGACAGAAGAGATCACTTTTAATTAAGTGCCTACCGTTCTCGCCATCAGTCGCTTATATTTATCTCTATTTTAAAATACGTTACTAAAAATTTTTAAAAGATTTACAAATAAAAATCTAAGGATAAGGATATGCAAATAACTATTATATGTACACATGTAAGAAATACAGTCACAAAAAAGATTATAGTAATATCCCTTAACAACTTCTTCCATCTTTTTAGTAAAAAGATTAATAATATTCTTCGAACAATTAAATAATTCATAATATAAATAAAGTAGAAAGACAATACAATCTTATATCATATAGAGTACATATAATATAGTAATTTCGTTGTGTATAATTTTTTATATCATATCTGCTCAACAGAGCCGTCTTTAAAAATTCCGTAATTCTGTAATTCCAGGATCACATCATGCTTAATATTGTAACATTCTAATTCTGCGATTTAATTTCTAGATTAAGTTTATCAAAAAGTTATTACAGAAATAAAATAAATACGTTACCTCATAAAAGTACGTAAAAAAGTTAGATGCTCTGATAATTATTATTATATTCATTCAATTTTTACAAAATGCAGAAATAACTAACAATCAGGATTAATCCCCCTAAGTACGGGCCCCTTTTTCATTATCAACAGTACAGCTCTGTCCGAATATATAGACTCATGTTTTCCTTTGATAATAGTGCAATAACCTTCAATAATAGTTTGACGAATTTTTTTGACATATCTCTAAAACATAACAAAACAGGTGTAAATCATAATACACATTACCACAAATATATAAATAAAAATAATCCTATGTATATATAAATAAAATAATTATAAATATAAATATCTTAAATAAATAATTATAATATGTTATACTATATAAGTAGATATTTTAACATATATTTTATTCATGCATATAGAGAGTATTTATAGTAATTTTTCTGTATATAAATAAACAAAAATGGTTGCTTTTCTAAATACATAAAAACAATTCTGCATATAAAAGTGGTAAAGAATAGACAATTAATTATAGTGATTATGGACAGGAGCGATAAATACAATCACCAAACAAATTATTGAGGTTATGGATAGGAGCGATAAACGCAATTAGAAAAGGGTGGAGTTTGCTCGATTTCCACCGCGTGTCTAACGTGATCTCGCAACGCTTGTTGCTTCTGAAATAGTATGTAGGGTATAATGTGTCTATAGTTCGAAATTCGAAGCTGGCTACGGCATTGTACTTACAGCATTTGCTCTAGAATAGTGCGAACTGTGATATATCGTGTCGTCAAGTCATGATCAACTTTCGGACATTGGCCATCGTTTATTTATGTGCGCATAGTCGCGAAACATCGTTCACACGATCGACGGATATCTGTCCCAGCTACCTTTCATTGTCCGATCAAATTTCTCACGAATTCGTTTTCTTTTATCAATATTGGAAGAATACTTCAATTTGTGGTATTACCTGAGGTGAGTAAAGAGAATCCTGCCCTCTTCTTTTCTGAATTTACAGTACTTGGGTTATAATATACGTTTGCATATAAAATAAATGCTCGCAAATGACCTTCAAACAAAAATTTATAATATAATAAAAATGTGGATACAAAATTATGTATTATTACGAAGAAAAGTGATTAGATATTTCGATATTATAATTAGTGGCTTTTACAATTTTCAACGAAGAAACTTTTTTAATAATGAGAATATGTAAAAATATGAATTTACTATACATATATTTTTTTTATTTAGGGAATTGCAAAACTCAAATTTGTTGGGAATACTTTTTTCTACGTTTCTTCGACATTTTCTCGAAAGTTCATTAAAAATATTTTTCAATACTCACGGGTTCAATATATCTATTCTACATTTGTTTATAATAAATTAAAAGCATTGACATATACCTTTTCTTACAATTCAGCAGCGCCGAATAAAGTGTTAGGAAGAACGTACTATACTTCGGTCGTGCAATTGTCGAGAATGCCTGATCGACTCTCTTTCTTCGTCATATCTCTTAAATCGATTGAGAAACTTGCCTTATAAACTCTACTTCCGACAGATCGTTAAACAATCAATAGATAGCTTCCGATTAATTTGCAAGGCTCGTGTTCACTCTTTTATCTCCATTATCTGAAAGCTTTCTATTAATGTCTATATTACGATTCCTTTTATAATTCAATGAAATATTTAGTAGTAGAGAAAACAATTAACCATAAATATATATAATGTTTAAAATAATCATAGCAATGTAAGAAGACAATATTTAAACAATCGATTGAATATTGGAATAAAATATAAAAATTACCTCACTAATGAAACAAATTCATTAAATATTACATTCATTTTTACGATAAAAAGTTAATCTTAATTTCGTTTTATAATAATTTTTCAAGTTTCTTTTTCGAATGTTAATTGACAATAATTTCTTGGAAAATATTTATACTTAATTAATATTTGTAATTGTTACAGATACCTATCTTTTAATAACACTAATTACTACTATGGACGTTGACATAAAACTCTCTAGAAGCAACAATGAATCATGGGGCTTTCGATTATCTGGAGGGGCTGACTTCAGTTTCCCATTGACCGTTGTCAGGGTAACGTATAGCACGTGTAGCTTTAAACGTTGACGCAATTCTAACCACACTTATCATACCTCGTTATGTGTAATTCTTTTAACAATTTCCATTAATTTTCACGTATAACAAGTATACTATCTTTCCGAATTCGAATTGTAATTCATGCGATATAACAATAATTTTTAATATCCCAAAAAAATTGTCACACAAAATATTTGTGTTTTCTACTTTAGAGATTTTTATCGACACTGCATTCGTATCGAATCGCGCGACCTCGTTTTCCTTCGGCCTGAATCCTGTGGTCGGTCCAACGGAATATTGTTTTCTGAAAAGAGGAAATCTTTAATCGAATCGTAGATGAGAAAACGCCGCGTATTCGCGAATCTTCACAAATTTTCGTTGGCAATCGTCTCCTTACCATTTGCTTGGATTTCTCTTTTTTTAAAATACAGAATTTAAATGAGAAAATTCGACTTCGTTGATACTTCGATTTCCTTTTAAAAGTTGACGTTTAAACGATTGTTATTTTACGAAATCGTAATAACCGCATCATAACCTCTACTAATATGGAATGTTCGAAAATTCAGCCAATACAACTAAAATAAAAGTAACATTTGATTAAAGGTACATACAGTTCACGTATAAAAATACAACTTAATTGCATAAAGTGTATCTTCTTTATTGGAAGGTGCTTCTCGGGGGATTGGCCGATCGAGCTGGTTTAAAAGCTGGTGATATAATCTTTAAAGTAAATGGGGAAACTATACAACATTTGAGGCACTGCGAAGTTCATGATCGCCTTATCAAAGCCGGAAATGAAATCATGTTGACCGTCATACGAAATCTAAAATTCGAACGATCCGTTTAACGAAAATGTTTATCGACACGCGTCTCACTGCGAGATATCGAGCAATCATTGCGATTATATTGATCGATTATATCGAAACGATTATATTGAATTTTAACTAAAGTAACATATTTTTTATCAAAAGTGAACTTTCAAACCAAATATAATGGTATTCACATTCAAATCAATTGTGTACGACAGTAAGGTATGTCAGTGACACGATATAACCTTAAAATTTGTTAATTATATTGATTATTTTTAATCGATATTGATATTTGAATCAATTCAAATTATCGATAGGAAGGAAACAGGTATATTATTATTTTAATTATATATATTATAATTACATATCCATTTCATGTATATCAAATTCTGTGTATTGATAAATATTGTACTATATTGTCGCGTAAATTTGTAATCATAAAGACTTCGAACGAGGAATAAATGTTTAATCAATGTACGAATAATTAAATTTTTCATTTTTGAACTATATTAGACGATAATACCTTGAATTCGAAATTAAAAAAATATTATTATTTGTTGGCTGTTTTTCATGATGGTTCTGGCAGTGGTAATCAAGGTCCATCGAGACAAGCTTGCAACATCATGTTATCGTTACGTGTCACCGATTGACCCACATTGCAAAATACAATTTGTCAACTATTGATCCGGCCTCCTCTATGATCGTACCTTCGCTGGCCATGAGTCATCGGTCTGTTAAGGTGACGTTTTAAAAACCAATTAATCGTTCCATTTAAACGATAGATCAAGATCTAAAGTCATATGACTAACTAATCATATTGTATCTCATTCAAAAAGAATTCCTCTTCATAATTTGTCAAAGAACTTTTACTTCCTAGCATTAAACTTATTATTAGTAATCTCTCTTTACTAAACATATATGTATAATAATTAGATAAAGGTACAAAACTTCTGATAATTAAGATATGTAAAACGGTAGGTAATATTGCAAATTAAAAAAATTGTTTAATTGCACAACTATGATAAAGACATGCATATTTAACATTCATACTTTTCAAAATTTGATTGTGCTTTTTATATACATTTTATAATTGGGGCACACTAATTGGATGATTTAATAGAACTGTATTCTCTCATACAAGTGAAGGGCAACAGGTGATGGGCTTTGTATTTTTAACTGGGGCAGGATATAAATTGGGACAATGAACGTTTCAATGAACTTATCTTTAAAAACTTCTGTATTTCAAATTGTCATTTCCAAATTATAATAAACTTTATATTATTCTTTAAACAATGGAAGTAAGCAAATTATAATAAAATGGCAATAAACATTTTCTTTAAACAGTAAACTTATATAGCTGGCTTTCTGTGCTGATCTGAGTTATTAAAATAATTTAATTTCCACCTGATTTTTTATTTAATACAGATAATCATGCGAAATTCAATAATACATTAATGAATTAAAAATATTCTCAAACAATGAAGAACACTTTGAAAATATTTAATTCAAAAAAAAAGAAAAAAAAAAATCGCTCGCTGAACAGTGTAAATTATTGATTGTATCTAAGTTTATTAAATGTCAAAGGAATTGAAAAATAAATGCATTGGTGATGTTTATAATAAAAATATTAATTAAAGAATTGTTATTACAGATTATTGATATAAAAGAATTACACAAATATTATAGAAACAAATTTCAAGAATAGCGTTTCATAGACTAGATTTAGTTGAACAGTTTGATATACATCATATTATGTATAACAATATAACACGGTGCTCGTGTATTTAACGTATAGGATATGTTTGAGAAACGGGGAAATGAAATGACTAACGACAAATTATAGGTGTATCACATAATTTAGTCTTGTTTTAATATATTAGATGTTGTTCAGTATAATATATGACTCTCATACTATATGTTAAATCATAACGTAAACAACATACACGCTAAACAACTCCATTTTGACGTATCAATAATTTACACGGAAACTGTACATTGCATCGCTTTTATCATTGTAACATTCATCCACATTGTAACAGACACACACAACAGACATAATTTTTATCACACTTCTTACACCGTTTGTCTCCTATTATGGAGTCATTGAAACTGACAAATTTATTAACGATTTAAAAAAAAGGACACTCGAAGAATGAAAGGAACATATATAAAATACGGACTATCATTATAAGTAACGATCACACGCGAACGAATGCTGAACTATTTTCATCTTCACAAAGCTACGTTTCTATTTCGAGAGCAGATATGTAACCAGATATAATTTGCAAAATCAAGGATAATTTGCAAAAAATGCATCATTTTCAAATAACACAAATCTATATTTAGTAAATAAAAAATTTACTAAAATATATAGCTACTAAATATTGTATATATGATACAATATAATCGCGCACTCAAATATGTGGGCCTGCTTTTACTGCCATATACAGCATTAAGCCTTTACATACTGTTATATAGGTCACATTTGACAACATTAATAAAGTTACAATGATATGTTCGTTTTTTGTTTAGTAATGTAAGATATTCGTTAACATAGTTTTACTCTATATAACAATCCAGCTACTCAAAATTATAGACACATATTATTATAGAAACACATTTCTTTTCTACATGCATTATCTAAATCTTAATTGCTCTTCTTTGAAACGACAGCTTTGTGTGAAGAGGAAAACGATTATTCGAGTCTAAACGACGTTACAAAACATTCAAGATAAGCAAGGTAAGCAACGAGAAAATTTATTCTCGTTACATCTAACCACTAATTATAATAATTAGCACGCACAACAGCATTTAAAATCATTGCCGTATCGAGTAATAAAGATCACGATTGACCTTGATGTATAAACGTACACTTTGGTTTACGAATACATTATATAATTATACGCAAGACTCGATTCTTGGTCGGACGAGTCTGTAAATCGGAGACAAATTCCCTGTAAACGCGATTCCAAGATAGAGCTGGGAGCTCTTTATCTATACCTATGTAATTATTGAGGAATCATCCGTCTCGTTAATTGAAGACCTGGGTAATTTTGTCAAAGAATGAGATTCATATACATTCTCAAAATAAGCATTTTCGTAGTCGTTTTGTTAGGTTATCTATTTACACTTTCATTTTTCATTTAGCACGGACCTAATAAACCATTTTATTTTAATACAATTTACGTAACTATATTATCTGTTATCGAGGATAAAAAATAACGTGATTTTCTTATCGCTTAAAATACTGCACATAAGCGTATTTTTAAAATAATATAAATAACGAGGAAATAAAAATAGTTTTCAAACAAACCATTCTTCGATTGAACAATACATTTGATAATACATATCTAATGTTCGATACATATTTAAAATTCAGTGTTATGCTATTCACTGCATTTCGTTTGACCAAATGCTCTGATTACATTTTGGAATAATATGATGGCATTTTCTGTAGGTATTCTGTTAACCAAAAAGCACACGCTTTATGAGTATACATTATTGTATCTAGCAATAGCACCGTTGCACCGTGACAATCATAACCATAGTATAACGTTCTAGTTGATTATTATGCAACTCTATATATTTTCTCCAGAAAAATGCATCGTCGTGATTCATCGTCGATATAATGTTTATATGTGAAAGGATAAAATGTCACAGGCCACAGGTCTTCAATTCATAATGGGAATCATATACGAAAAGAAAATAAACTTTCCGTGATTCCTTCGGGTTTATCATTTCCTATCGTCCTTCTTCTTCGTCCTCTCTGGACATCAAAGATCTGCCATAGTAAGTATACGTACAATACGATCAGGTACAAGAGTAGCATCTCGGGGTTGATCTGTTTTATTACCAAAGAGAGGACGAAGCTTCTCAATCGTCTTAAACTAATCACCTTCAGCCTCCTTGAATTTTTTTCATCGACGAACGTATAAAACGTACATAACCTCGCTAGAAATAATTTTTTCTCTTTAAGATACCCAGATAATTGAAACAAATTATTCGTGTTAAATTTGAAACTTGAAATCACATGTAAACAAAACTCGCACGCAATCGAGACGATTAGTGACCCCTCAAAATTGAAAGTTTTTACGACATTGCAAAATCTTTTTCTTTTTTCACAATTACGACACTATGAATTATCGATGCGAAAATCGTTCCACGGCAATTAATATAAATTAATAAATTAACTCACGATGCTTGTAATACCTAGTATCGAGACGAAGGTGCAAAACTCTCCAAATGTATGACAGTGGTCATCACCTGTTGCTCCTTTTGACAACATGTCCTGTTTGTTCTTCGTTTTAAAAACAGGTAGAAACTATTTACCCGTCTACATTTGTCTCCATTTTATGTTTTCGTTTGTCCACCGAAATAATGACTACTGGTCCGCCTGCTCGCTAGTTTCTTCGGTATCGGACACTGACAGTGTCCTATCATGATTTGTGCAGTTGTCTGTCTTACATCTGGATTCCGCGATCTCAAGCCAATGTTGTTTATTCTTTCTAACACCTTCGACCAACGGTTCCAATTTATCCGATAATAAAGCGAATGCCTATTTACAAAAATTCACTTTATGTTTAAGAACATTTATTTCAGTGTCACAAAATAATTGTAACATGTTGAAGAAAAAGGTTCATGTATTAATCTAACGAAGGTAAGGAATTACCAATTGTTTGTTGAAAAGTTGTAAGTATTATGATAAACTGCAGAAAAATTTAACAAACAAAAAATATATGTATATCATATTAGTCATATAATATATAATGTAGATGTAATTAGGAAGGAAATAAATCAATTTTAATGTTAATAGAATTAATTCACATATTACTGTTAAATATTATTTTCTTATAACATTAAATTCATGAACCCTTTTTTCCGTATCTAATGTAGTAAAATAATTTAACGTAAAAGCAATAAAACTTTGTTATACGTATAAATTAATATTATGCTAAAACAATTTTCGCTTTGAAATTAGCATAATCTTTTGCAACATTTTTAATTGTATAAACGCTGCAATGTTCTCGACAGTACTCGTTATTGTATTATTCAATTGTGTGTTTGTATACAACATAATATTTCTTGTATTGGTGCATTAACTTAAATAATCAACAATGTGTCTTAACAGTAATTCAAAAATCATAACAAATATGATGGCTCTCTAATGGTATCTTACTATTGTCGATAGCGTAGAAAGCTAGTTACCTCGTAAATAGGGAGGCATATCGAATCGATGAAGCCAACTTGCATCATTGGCAGTTGGTCCTCCTTCTCCCGGTTCATAATATCCTGCAATATCATACGAGTAATGATACTATCTTTGAATTATAAATGATTGTGTTAATTGTGAGATTTCATTTTAAAAAGAAATAACTTAAAATTTTAGTAATAAGTAGAAAAATATTGACTAGAAAATAATGTATTGTTCATGCTGAATTAAAATAAGAGGGAACTATATTAAGATTTAAACGATTTCTTTTTCCTTTCCATTTTGGAAAAATCTAATATTGGACTTTTTAAATGCATATTTCACAAATATCTAATTAGAAGTATCGCATCATTAGTTTTGATGAGTAAGAACTACATTTACTTATAATAAGAATTAAATTGATTTATTTAAAAATATTATTAATATTGTTCTTATAATTCCTCAACTTAAAGAAGCAATTATCAAATTAAAGAATTTTTTTCATTAGTACGCGTATCACTAGCTATCTAGTGGTCCAACGCTTTCCATAATATTTTGTTATTAGTATGGTATTTTAATTTACATTTATCATTAATGCGCAAGTAAATTTACTTTTTTATAAAAATTCACATTTACAAAAAAAAAAAAAAAAAAAAAAAATAATTTAAAGTATTTTAATAGCAAACATATTTCTCACATTTGTGTTAAACTGTCATAAATATAATATTGTACTACGTTATAATTAAATACTAAAGTTTAATATAGAAATACATACAATAGGAGTAATATTGAGAGTCCGCCTTTCGATATCTCCTTGTTCAAAAAATTCACTGCTAACTAATTCTGCTACTCTCTTCTCAACATCCCAAGGTTTAGTTATAGCCGCCAAATCGCATACGGTCATCAACATTCCCCTCAAAAGTTCTCGATGATCACTATAAGCCCAATTGTAACTGCCGCCTTGAGCTAAGGAAAGAAAAGCTCCTCTTTTTCGGAAGTAAACCGCTAGATCAGTAGAGAGGATTGCTTCTTCCAGAACTTTTACCACACGGGAATATTCTTCGGGAGATAGATTAGATAAAAGTTGATTTCCTTGACTACTCAATATCATAAGACATTGATCAAAATGATGATGCTCCATCGTTGATGTTGAATAAAGCTGTGCCAATGGCGAAGATGCTCTATAAATCGTAAAATTATTTCCTTTTTATTAAATAAATTTTGACGAAAATAAAGATATATTTACAGTTCGTAATGTTTACACTCACTTGATTTGGAAGGAATTATTCGTACCCCGATGATCCAGATCATGGCACAAACAAGCAATAATTAATGCAAGACATTCAATTTCTCCGAAAATTTTCCACCATTGTGTAGCCTGAAAGATTGATTCATTAAATTTATTTCTTCTTTCAGTGTACTTCCATACAAAATAAATACATGTTTAAATCATTAAATTTACTTACAGTTAGAATGGCAAACATCATTTGCGCGACATTGAATGCGTGACGCCAATTATGATATGTGACATTTCGATAATTCTTTTTTACGCTAAGCAGCCAACGACAAAGGACATCGTAGTCAATATGAAAACGTTCAACAAAATCAAGATCCAAAAACATTCGAAGACATGCTGTTAAGGTTTGGTCGTCTTCCATATAAATATCGTCGAATTTGAAATCGTGCAACTGGAAATGCGCTGAAGAAGGCACTCTTAAACCCTGAAATTATATACAAAATAAATATATGAATTTAATAATAAACAGAAATTCCATTGTGATTTTTTTACTGATATTTCTACCAAAATGTAAATAAACAATGTTTAATTATTAATTTCCAAATTCTTTGATAGAAATAAGAGAAAAGTCATACGTTCAACTTAAAAATTTATCTTACCCTTAATCTTTGAGCATCCTCTAGTGATGCAGAAGCGTGGTAACTGAGCACTTCCAACGTAACGCTCTGTTTGGCCATTGCTATCACAGCTTTTTCATACCTAAACAAGTCATGAAACAAAGTCAAATCCTAGAAAACTCATTCGTTCCGATCGATTAATTATCGAATGACTTGTTCATATTCTTTTGCATATTTACATGTGTGTATTGTGAATTCCCATGCCGCAGAAAATGGCGAATGCTTCAACGAAGTTCTCGTCATTCTTCGTGAAGGCAAGGTCATCGAACTTGTTTATCAGTTGAATAACGCCGATAATCTGACCTGACGAGTTCTTGATGGGCATGCAGAGAATAGTACGATGTCTGAAACCAGTACCATCATCTACCGAGGGATCAAATCTGGGATCATCGTAGGCGTTTGGTATATTCACAGTCTGAGAAAATGGTCTTAGTTATAAATTGAGAAATGGATGCGTTATGATAACATATACTACTCTATTATAACCAGTGCGTTTACCTCGCCAGTCGTAGCGACGTAACCAGTGATGCCGACATTTATAGGGAATCTGCTCTCGAATGGACTGCGTGAACAAAACCGAATACATATAAGGTTTCCGAGGAAATTGAATTATTGTTGGTAATTGAATGAAGAAAAATGAGAACGTAATTACAAACTTCATTCACCTAGTGCGAGAATCTGAATCCTCGCCGGCGAGGTCGTTCGCCTCGAAATCAAACACTCGTGAGAAACTGCCCTTTGATGCCTTATGTACGAGGAGAACCTGCATGGAATATTTAATTTTATGTTAAAACGTTCCTTTTTCTATCGCACTGGATACACAATTTGAAAGGAAAATTCACCTGAACTCGCTGACACTGAATCAAGGATTGGGTATGAGTTAAAATCCTCAACACCATATGTTCTATAGTGCTCTGTTCCTCAAAAATCATCCTAGCCAAGTCCAGAAGAACCTGCAATAACAGTAAGTGTTTAGGAATTGCCAAGTTGAGGTCAAATAAAATAAAAGGTATAAATAACTCATTGTTATCTTTTAATAATAAATAATAATTTGTGATTGCATAATTTTAATGCCATTTTAAAATTAGCATTATGTGAAATCTTATGAGTTGCAGAGTACATATTTTGTTCTCTTATTTGCTCACCTGATTTCTTTTCACCTCCAATTGACTTTTTTCATACAGCTGTGCATTTCTTAATCCAATCCCACAGAACTGCAGATAACCAGCAAAAATCTTTTCGTCTTGCGTGGTGAACTGACTTTCACCACCGAGTTTATTGATGACCTGGGCTACCCCAATAACGTCTCCGTTGCAATCCTTTATCGGCATACATAGAAGGGCTCTGGTTCTGTACCCCGTCAATGCATCAATTTCACGATTGAATCTTGCATCCTACAAACATAAGATATTTACTGACCTTGAACAATATATAATATATAATGTGATATATTATTAGATACATTAGCATAATTGGATTACATAATATGAAGTATAATTGGAAACATAACATATGTTTCAATATGTAATTTAATGTGATATAATTATAAGTATATGATAAAATGACTAATGCACTAAGTCACTATAGTAAAATTATTTACATACAATCAGTAACATAATAATAAACGATGATTTGGATAACAATTTTATTTTGAAAGATGGTTTTATTTTACTAATATAGTGTTTTTAGTTTTGCAAATTTTAAGTGTGACAACTTCACAATTTGGAATTTGAAATCTAGAAAAAAATAGAGATGATTTTGTGAGAGTGATGAAAGTAATAAATTATATTTTTAATAATTGGATTGATAATTATGTGTGTAATTTCGCTACTCATATATATTTATTAATCCTGAAATATGAATTTTATATATCATTAACATTTAATTTCACTTTTGATTGTATACAAATTATATAGTTAGAATTATTAGTATTATATTATATTAATTAAATTATATAACAGATTATATTATATAATTAGATATTTTGTTCAGACAAAAAGTAAAATAATAATAATCACATGACTAGTAATTACATATTAATGACGATGACATGTGCTAATGACTACTAATAATACAATGATTGATAAATAAAGTAAGTAGTTATTGAGAGATAATTGAAGGTTTAAGGCCGAGATCAATTAACAGCATAATGTGCAATTAAAATTAAATATTCGATAAACATGACTCCAGAAACCTATAAAATGCTTATAATTTAAATATCACTATCAACGAGCAATTAATTATTAATTACAACTCTGAAGCTTTCGAGTTTGAGGACCGTAAGAAAATAAGTTTACAGCAAATTTATCGCGAATGCTTTAATTGACATTAATTTCCACTCAAATAAGGAACAAAATTATGTAAATTCGATTAGATTCTGAAGCAACGTTAAATCTTAAGTTTGACATCAACAAAACATAGTTTTAACGTAATATAATCACTTTATACAATTCGATATAAAAATAACTATAAATAATACAATATAACACAAAATATAAAATTTACATTACAATATAAAAATAAATAAATAAAAAACAGACTAATTTGTAATATAAACTATAAAGCTTTGATTTCAATAAATAACAAATATAAAATTCTTTTTTACCATTTTTTAAAAATGTCAGTGATTCTTCATGAAAAAATAAATTAAAAATGTAGAATAACATTTTTTCATTCGAGGCTTAGTTATCGAGATAATAAATTCTGAAAATCTGTTGGGTGCATATGCATTTATATAACCAAAATATTTACGCAAAAAAATAAAGAATTTTCTTTCGCCTTTTTTTGTGTATATATATATATATATAACAACCACTAAAAATCTTCTGAATATAGTATACGAACGTAACATGCATTACAATTTCGCTTGAAGATCTATACCTTAGTGCGAATGTACACCCAACCATTTTTCGAACTAAACTTTCTCGTAAACTAGGCTCCGCAAAAAGAAATTGTATTCTACACTTTCGATATATTTTTACACGAAGAATCACATTCTACCTGCTTATCTTATGTATACGTATATATAGGGTATGCATATGCAATGAAGTTTGAGATCTATTTTTTTTGGAAACTGAACTTCAGTTGAAAAAACTGTATTATACATTTTTGATCTATTTTTACATAAAGAATCAAATCATGCACCCTCGACTTATCTTAGTTCTATACGAAAATGCACGTATATGTTATAAATTCGATTTTCTCGAAAACTAAGCTTCGAATAAAAATGTTATCTATACTTTCAAGGTCACGATGTATCCACCCATGAATCCTATTTCACCCATATATATATACACACATATGTAAGTACATGCATATCCAATAAAATTTCAAATCGATTTTCTTAATCATTGAACTTTACGTAAAGAAACTGTATTCTGTATATTTTGTATACTTATATATTATTTATTCTGCTATATTCGTTTATTATTTACTTATGTTTATTTATTATTTATTTTTGTACGAAGAATCATGATTTGCCATCTTCCATATCCTGTGTAAAAACATTGAATATATTTAATACTTAGATACTCGATGTGCGCCATCTATTGTTCAATACTGAAACTGACTTTTCTGACTTTTCTTAGGTAAATAGCAGATCCTTGCCTTGTATGCGTCTGGTATGTTAACAGGTTCTCCGCTTTCGGCGACGTATCCAACAATTCCCGTGCCCCAGGGAATTTTGATCTCGTCCTTTTTCTCCATTTCCAGCAGAGTCGATCTCGAGCACACGTCGAACAACTTCGAGACTAGACATCTGCTTCTCGAATATCCCGTTCCACGTTGCTCCACGTTTCCGTTTCCCGTTTTCCCTGGATTCGCATTGCCAGTCGAATTAGACAAAGCATCGTGGTTCTGCGAAGACGGCATGCATCCGCCGCCCCTTTCGCCTTGGACAAGGAAGAGGGAGCCACGATCGGCGTGCAGCAGGGTGCTCACGTTCTGCAAGATCTTGTGACACAACGATCTCACGTCCAGCTCGTTGCAGATATCCTTCACCTACGAGAAAATTTCTTGTCATGAAACAGTCTTTGATTGAAATTGGAAACTAATAAAATATTTTATGTCCAGGCACCTTCCTCTGTGAGATCAATTTTTATTTGGTTATTTACATGACATTGGCTTCTTGTTCGTTCTATCTGAGTAATTCTATGTATTAATTTTAGAATTTTTAGAGGGTTTTTCTTACTTAAATACGGAAATCGAATGTTTTATAAAATTAGATATTGTGATTTATAACTTTATCTTTCTTAGTTGCAGATTATCGTTGTTACGTAAAAGATGCTACATACGAGGAAATGCAGAAGAATTATACATCACTGTGTATATAACATAATAGGACTAACTAATTAGTATTTATATTAAATAGCATAAATTGGAAATTAACCTGGAAATAGAAATTTAAATATTGTAGACCTATAATAAGAGGTTATAAACGTTGTAAAAATTTCAATAGACAATATATTGAAAATAAAAGTAGCAAATTATATGCAGACCCTAAAAGAAAAGGGTGTTATTAATGTGATACATAGATTAAATTACAAAATGGAATACAATACTTTATCTAAACTAATACAAACTTTATGTATATATGTAAAAGGTAACAACATATGCAGAGTGAATTGAATACAATTTTTGATAAAAGACATTCTGTTACTCATATTTGAATTCAATTTGATTCAGTCCAATTTCATGCTTCTAATTTAAAGATACAGTCCAATTCAATGCAAAAATGTTTGCCATTTCTTTTTATGACCAGTTTTAATTTTTATTATTTTCATGAATATCATTTTAAATCAATATAAAACAAATAATATACTTTTTATTATTTAACATAGTTTTTTGGTATATAGACAATAAGTCAAATAAATAACTCTTCTAAACTACTATAAAAATGATAATGATCAATTTATAGAGTCTGAAACTGTTTTCACTGATGACTTTTGACTGTACTGTTGTACAAAAGTAATTTAAATTTTTAATCTGTCATTTCTATTTCAAGCTGACAAGTTTCAGTTATTAATGGTTACATTTTTATGAGATATATACATTTTCATTACAAATCGATAAAATTTTCCGAATAATTACAAATGATGGCTTGTGTGCATAAAATTCTGTACATTTCATATTAATAAGAAAATCATACTCCACACCTGGCAAGAAAATGGGAAATATCGACACAGCATTAAATAAAGAGCACACAAATGAATAAGTTGATTATATTTTTAAGAATGAGATACTCTTATCTGAAAAATGATATATGATTTTTCTAACATTTTTATATTATTAATCAAAGAGGAAATCAATAGGTAAATCTGTGGTATGAAACTTTACCCTCTGCTGATACATGTTTTTAATAATACTATACAAAAATAAGGTTACTATCATATGTATAAAGTACCCTTATCTAAAAGAGATATATATGACTTCTTTGATATCTTTACAATGCTAATGAATCAAAGTTAAGTAGTAAACCTCTAGTATGAAATACTATACTTAAAGTTACTCTTTGTTAATACATATTTCTAGTGTTATTACGAAAAAGCAAAGGGAACTTTGTGACTTTCACATATTAACTCAGTCATATGCTACTTTTAATAAACATTATATAATTTTCAAATATGAATATGCAAATTGCATAATTAGATGCAAAAAAAATACATAATGTTCAGGCGTGATTATTTATGTCTGTGCATGACTAGAATTACTTAACAAAAAAGAAATATTATAGGTTTCGACGCTGTGACGATTACAAACAAAACATTCGATTATGAATATTAAATTGTCCGGAAATAAATTATGGTTTCCAATCAACTAATATAAAGCGTTTTATACAGTACAAATTTTGAATAACGTTATTTCAGTTACAATATTAATTATACATCTAGGTGCCACATTTTGTGTAGAAGCACAATAATTCAATTGTTATTGTATTAGGCTGTTGATATTAACAATTAAGAAAAACTGAATTTCTTATGTATTTTTTAATTACTTATTAATTTTATTGCTATTTATTTTGTTTATTTCATTATATTATTTTCGATATTTATTTTTGCAATCCTTTAGTTACATATATTTGGTAGAGATGCAATTACATGTATAATGCAATATTCCTAACCTAACAGAAAATCTTGCACAATATGGGCGATACTTTAAACGATTTTGACCCTCTGTAACCGAACTTTCTTGCACGTGACAAAAAAATTACTATCGGATTACTTAGAAGTAAAGGATTACTTAGAGGTTACAGTATTTTGCTTAAACGAAAGCACCATAAGCCAATGACTGCTACAAGACAAAACGATAATCTATTAATAAAACACGATAGTACAGTCATAAAGATACAAAATAATTTTTGAAACACAGCAAGATTTTTTTCCAAATTCTCAAATCGTGTAGAATCCATTAATCCTAGATTGTCAGATTTTCTAAATAACGAATTAAAATACCTTATATTGAAAAAGCTGTACAAATTGTAATGATCTTTATTCGAATTAAATAACTGAGTTTGTCACGGTTATATAATTTAAGCCTCATGTTCAATTTATATCCAGAAAACTTAACATACTCTAGAACTCCACCTATCTGACCTCATCGGGTATCAAACAATTAATATAACTGAAGATCGTATAATAGGATTGAATTCTCATTCAAATAATAGGTGTCTACATTCGGATAAGTGAATTCAATCAGGAGTTCAATTAATTATACACTACAAACATAGTGCTACTCTAAAACACTTAAGTCGTGACTATCGTGTAGAGATTGAACAAGCAGTCTGTGTTCCACAGAGGAAGGTGTTTTGTGCCATAAAACGGGTGCAGGGCAAGCGTATTCGAAGCATGTACCAATTCGAAGATGAGATCCTTTTCATCTAGATGCCTCAATTCGTGCCTGGATCTTCTCTGGGGCCTGCCCGCGTTTCCAGAGCCAACCTGCTGACCTCCTGGCTGGCCCGAATCCCCGGGCGAAACACTGAGGAAGGTGGGCGTCCCGTCGATCGTGTTCACGATCGGCTTTAGCAAACCACCGCGCTCGAACTCGTGAGCTGAGATTTTTCGAACGGGCGTCGTGGCACCTGATCCGCCAGAGCCACCCCGGCCAGAAGATGACGTGCCACCTGCATGGGTTGGACTGGATAGTTCCACGCAGCTGCTCGACGAAGATGTTGGCGTCGCATGCGAGACCAGCCACATATCTACGGTCTGTCTCGTCACTTTCCTGTTGAAGAATCCTCGTTACAAATATTGTCAATCCATCGTTCGTCGATGTACTTCGATTTACAATTAGAATATCGCGACATGGTCACCTCTGGAGTTGGTCTCCCTATCTCGCTTTAAGTCTTAACACGTTGATCGCCACGTCGATCACAGATGACTGACATGGCCAAGTTCTTGTTCCATGTTGGGCACGTGTGTCTGACTGTTACAGTTTCGTTGCAATACCTGTCAATTTTACCATTGATAACCAATGCAAAATTGTATTAACATTTGAAGAAATCACCTTAGTTGAATGTGTAATAAACTTGTTGCCATGTTGGCTATATATTAATGACATAGATGTTATATTTTTGAGAAACCAGGTGATATAAGACCAAATATAATATGTATTTTGGCCTGTTACATCAAAGCAATACATATTTGCATTTTGGCTGTTTCAAGACAGTCTCTGTTAAAACAGCTTTGGCGAACAACGTGTTAACTGAATGCCTCTAGTGAGGTGTTGAAGTATCTCAGACTATAAATACTGTCATCGTTTTGTTTACAATTTATACATAGTATAAGGTGTCCCCTTGTCAGTCGTTCTTGATTTTTTTGAGATTTATGATTCTCCAGTTACACAATGCGTTGTTGATAATTTTTATTTAAGAATTATCATATTAATCCAATAATTCTTTAAATTATCCAAATGGTATCTCTTATCAATTATACGTTGAAACATCAAAGAAAGTATAAAATAACAATAATATTACCAACAATACCGAAATTTGAGATCATATTAACATTTTTAGGTAACATTATTTGTAACATACTTATAGATCTGACTTAAATTGAATTAAAATTAATTAAAAACTGGACTAAAAGATCGTAAAAGATAATGCATGGGTAGGTAACTTCCAAATCACACAACGTTATAGAGAGTTAAAATGCAGTCGTTACTTTTTATTGCAATAATGCAATAGTTAACCTCGAATAACCTCGAATGGTTTAACGTAATTGCATTTCACCGTGTCAGTTAAAGGATAAATTTGAATTCAACTGTTTTCCAGTATCATAGCGTTCGACGAAAACGTAGTGCAAGTTAGCATAGTTTCTGCGAAATAGCTATAATCCGATTATTTAGTGTGTTCATCCGACTGTTATACTTTTCTTTATGAACGCTGCTACATTATCTTCTTTATTTCCTTAGAATTTGCAAACTTTCTATTTATCTTAAGCTTTATGTCTTATTTTATATAAAATATTATTTCATATTTTTATGTATTTACGTTTTAAAATTTTTAACACGGAAACACTAAAATGGTAACCCTTGTTACAACTAAATAATGGTCTTTTATGTCAGTTACCGTTATATTCAAGTACACGCCTCGATGGAAACTGTCCGTTCACCTTGTAAAACTTCTATCATATGGAAACATTTTGCTATCAGGTTATCCGCCATTTTTATCCCTCTTCCTTACATTTAACGACATAATTCATGGCATTTGTAGGTTATTATTTTATTTTTAGTCGTATTTCGCTTTCGATATGAATAAATTGTCCTATAATACACTTAATCTACTTTTAAACGAAGAAGCCAGCATTAAAAAAAGAATAACGAGGATTATGCATCCAGGAATCAATGAATAGGCAATCAATGGACATTAGGAAGTGGCAAATGAATAATAGATCCTTGCGTGTCTGGTATCATTTTGCTGAAAGTAACATATTTGTGTCATAATTAAAGAAATATCTTTAGTTGTCAGATAAGAAGTATTCTAATTCAGGGCAATCGAAATGTTCTTAAAATAAGAAAATAGAACGACAATTACAGGAGCCGATTAAAGTGCTGATGTGTTTTCCAATAAATTCTGTTTATAGTCGAGAAATAAATATTCTGACTTACATCGAAGACCGTGCTTCATTGTATCGTTAAAAATATGTTCTATTTTCCACTCGTACCTAAATACGAAAGCAAGTCACGCACTTTTATTAACAATTTCCATGATGCTAGTGTTTCCATTCGAATTCATAAACTTTCCGGAAGCTTCGATCATTATGGTTCTAAAAATAAAGATATGAAAACAGAAAAATAATTATATTATTAAAAATGTATGTTTACATTACATTATTATTTACAAAAGTAATACTCCACATCAGTCGAATTCGAAAAGTAAATCGAATTATGTATATGTTGGCAACACTTCGTATTCACTTCAATCAGTTTATACGTAATACATTTATATGTGTGTGTACGTATAAGAACAGAATTATCGTTCACATTGGAAAAATTCTACAGGCATTTATGAATTTATGAATAAATATACATAAAATTCATTGTACTACACTATTCCACGAACAATGTCTTCCCTCGCTATGTAACTATCGTTAAAAACGATCAACAATCATCACTGTAATTACTCAGTGAATCTCGGCATATTGGAATCGACTATTTATTTCTCATCAACCTAATATACAGGCTCGTTGGTATTTGTGTTAACGTGTTCGTTTCCAAGAACTTTGTAACTTTGTTTCTTTATGACACTTGTACTTGATCTTTTGAATACTTTCATGTCAGCTTTGCATGTACATCTGCACGACATCGGTAGCCGACTGGGATAAAGCATGGTGCATGCACACGGAGAGAAGTTAGGCTCGAATTATGAAATCTGTTTTAGTAGTTCAAGCGTTGACGGACAGAGGTCCTGATATGTAACATACTTTCGACGCGATTGGATGCTGAATACAAATCACCGTATATTCTTACACACTGCTGCTAGTAACTTCACAGTGAATGCAACGAATACCATTTGTCAGTAATTTGAAAAATGATATGCAACAAGATACCATCAGAAGCATGAAAAGAAAATATTAATATGAAATATGACTAATCATTTCTTTACGATCATAAAATATGAGTGTTATCAAACATTTTACTAAATTCATACGTATTTGATATTTTATTGCAATTACAACGTGGTAATTTCCATTATAATTACCGTGGAATGAATTTGCAATGTAAGTGAATTATAAAATATTTATCGATTTCATTATTAGAATATAAATATTAGAATAAAATTATTTACCCGATTATTATTTTAAAATTTGAATAAATATACTTTTTCACATTAATTGATATCTTACTTTTATCACAGCTGTTTTTCGATCGATATTTTATTAGGATAATAAGCGTTAACTGTAATACCGACACGACTGCAGATGTCTTTCCTATTAGCTGCAGCAATGAAGAAACAACTTGACACGATTATGAAGTAATTTGCTTCATTTAACAACGCAATAGAAACATCGTTTAAATAAGAAAGAAAAGTAATGCATGCACACTTATAAACTCTAACATATGCGAGATAATTATTGATTAGAACTAGACACTGTAATAACGTATGGGAGACTGTAGAAGTTAATCGTTTTTAGTGCAATAACAACCTGAGAAAGTAGTCGTTGACAAAGTCGGGGTGTTCGTCGAGCCAAGCCTCCATGCGAGCGTACTCCGGATCGTAGACGGCGGAAGTCGAGGAGTAGTAACCGCCGGTGGACTTTCCATCTTGCACCTGTTGCAGTGTGCCCTGCCCAGCCATAGCAGTCTGCACCCCTTGCATCCCCTGCACACAAGGAGCTGCCGTCTCCGCCGTCATCCTCGGTTCTTCGATGCTCCGCAAGTGCAGGCCTACTTGACAAATGAATTACCGTTATTACGTACTTTTTTTGGCGCTTATAATTATTAAACTATCTTTCAATTCATTTTGAAATTTATCGACTTATTAATTGCTTTTAATTCCTAATTTTTCTTTTTAGGTTAGTTTATTCTTTTATATAAAAATTTTCAACTTATTAATTGCTTTTAACTCCTAATTTTTTTTAGGTTAGTTTAATATTTTATATAAAAATTTGAGACTTATTAATTGCTTTTAATTTATAATTTTTTTTAGGTTAGTTTATTCTTTTATGAAAAAAGATATTTTCAAAGCATACATTATATTGATAAATGACAGATGGTAAATACAGAAAAATTTGAATGCAAGTGAAATGCTGTGGAAATGGAAACTTGAAGGAATATTTATTCTGGATACTAAAGATGTGTAGATGGATAAAGTGCTTGAGATTAGGGTGAGAAATAGAGTGAAGTAAATTCATCCAAGGTTCTCAGTCGACGTGATCGAGTGGAATCGAGTGAAAGAGAATGTATAATACAATATAGAGGAAAAATGTTTCGGGCGTTTCTGAACATTTTTCACAGATTTTATTTCCTAACTATTTTGCAGGGTCTGCTTCAGCAAGGTAATTCCACTTCAACAACTTTTAGTTTCTCGGTAAGGAAGCACCTTTAGCACAGGATTCCTCTTACTCAACGAGCATCAGGAATGAAATAAAAACCAGAAAAGAATGTGCTCTCAAAAAGTTTTGGTTTTGGGACGTCCCCGGGTAAAATGAAGAGTGAAAGTTCTCCGCTGCATTATTTTGCTTTGGATTTCTCGTGTTTAGTTTGTACATTTAGGTATGGTTTCCGTCTCTTTATTTTTCTGGAAATATAACAACACAAATTTTTACAATGTAAAGTGAAAAAAAACAAATTTAAATTTACATTCTTTCCATGTAAAAATTATTGCAATATGCACTAAATTTTTAATAATCGTATTTATATAAATAATTCTATAAAATCCTTTCAATTTAGGCAAATATTTTTTCAATCAATTTATAAAAGATTTATGGTTTAGAGTCAGTAGTGAGTCTTCTAAGTAAGTAGCTAATAAGTAGTTTGAAAAATAAGATTTACAATGAAATATTTTAATGAATTAAATTTCAGAATGAGATATTTCACGTGGAACGAAATGGCAAAGTATCTGCACTTTGTTGAGAGATGAGCGAGAGAACGATTCAGGTGAAGCAGTAATTGTAGTATTTAAATCAAATTATTCTAGGAATAAGAAGCAAAGTAAGTGAAGGACAAAACATTCTCCAAGGTATAATTGTATTAATCAAATCATACAATTTGAAGATTCACCATGTAAGAAATATTTCTCAACAGAAACATGAAATTTATAATTTTACACTGTAATATAATTCCAATGCTTGTATGTTGTTACATACATACAGTTCAATGCTATTTAAAACTTAAATGTAAACATAATCAAATTATACAAAAAAAGAAAAACAAAAATATTATATTAAATAAATTTTGTGATAATTATATATATAAATAACAATTTTTATTATTTTTGTTATAAAAATTGTAATTTATTTTTGTGATGAACAAACACTTTTTAATTGGTATAAGATATTTCTGGTTTTAATAATTTGTAAAATATTAATATATTATATTAATATTATATAAGAAATTTATTTATTCATACATTTTTATCTTTTCCTTTTTTGTTTTATATTAAACATAATTAATATATATATGTATAGTTCTATATTATTATATTATAATAGTATTATAATATATATATAAATCTATATATTATAGATATATATATAGGATTTATAAAGATGAATCTACATCTGGTAGTATGGAAAAATTATACACCATATTTTCATTATATATGTGTCTTAAACTTCACTTATGTTCCATTACAACTTCATCAGATAGTGTGAAAGATGTCTATTAAATAAAGCAAATCTTTTTTTACAGCGCAATAAACTGAAAACGTGTTAACGTGCTTCTTTACTTTCACGATTTCTTATTTGTGGCCCTTAAATGTTTACGATGGAAGTTATGGAGATACGACAGAGTTACATAAAGTTTTCAAGGTTGCGGTGGTTTTTACTGGATTCGAGGAACGGAAAGTAATTCCGAAATGTACGTCAAACATGTTCCCAACAATTTTCCAAGTAATTTAACATGATCGCGAAATTTTGCACCACAAAAATATTTCGGAAATATCAGAAATCAAATACAAACAGGAGGAAAAAACAAACTTCTCAAAGTATTTCACATTTGTTCCCAAGAATAATAATGACACGTTAAATTTTTAATTGTCAACGTATTACAATGTTGTATTAATTTTCAAAAAACAAGTTTTAGTAGTCGAGTACTAATATGATTTTCCAGTATTCATAATTAATATCAGTACTTGAAAAATGAGTCAGAATTTGATATTTACAAAACTGTGTGCAAAAATAATTTTCTATTCTCTCCAATAATAATAACAGCTGGCAGCTGATTCTGTATACAAAAATAGGTCAAAAGACTAATAATATCTTGTACAAAATTCAAATAAAAAAAAAAAATGATAGTTACCTAACATATACTATATATTATCCTATGCATTTGATATAGAAGCACATAATATATAAAATATATAGAAAGTGTGATCCAAAATACACAAGCAAACGATTTTTCACAAAAAAAGTAAATCAAAAATGTAAATAAAATTTTTTCATACAAGACATAATTCTCGAAAAAAGATTGGTTTCAAAAATTTGTTGGGTATGTTTTTGTATAATTAAGGTATTTAATTGATGATACAAACTTTTTTATATTTTTTTTTGTATTTTCTAGAGTCCAATAAGTCGTTGAAAGTAACGATACAAATATTACAGTTTCATTCAACGGTTTGTATTTTAGTTATAGAGGTGCCCCCACCGGATTTTCGAAATCGATTTTCTCGGAAACTAAGCTTTGGATTAAAAAACAGTATTTTACATTTTCGATTTATTTTTATGCGAAAAATCAACCATCTGCATAAAAATCTGTATCTCGGATATATATGTATAGCGCGCGTACCCAACGAAATTCCCAATCGATTTTCTCGAAAACCATGCTTCGCACGACAAAATTGTATTCCATAATTTTTATTTATTTTTACAGCTTGTATAAATATAGCCCCATTTGGAACTCGTATTAATTAATCAAGGTATTAAATAGAATGAAGCGTTGCAGAGATTCTAGATTGTCTCTGATTGATATCAATTTGCACATAGAACTGTTTGTTACACGATGACCTCGTTGAACTGTCGAAAGGGCAACGAAAACGGAATATAAATTGCAGGATGGTAGTGCGGTAGTAGTGCCGGAAATTCCGAGACGGCATGGCGTCGCGATCAAATTTATATTCGTTTCACGACCGACTGACTCAACTTTTGAAACATTCTGCGATATCAACTGACGCAGTTGCAGAAAGAATGCACGGATTACAATAGAATAGAAATTAGCACAAGACTTTGTCTAATGTCAAATTCATAATTTCTATAATTTAAATTTAAAATATTATATTTTCAATACAAAAATATTTTTATAAAATTATACATAAATTAAATTTTTCATATTAATTTTATTATA